GTGACGGTTTTGAGCTGAGTCATGGTATATGTATCGTAACGCGCACGTGAATTAAAGCGTGTTTTATACCTTTAAAGTCACATTATGCCTTAGAAATAATTGTTGTTGTTTTTTACTTCTTTAGAAAGGGCAGACATTGGTTGAATAATGTTTAAAAGGTGGTTTTAAAAATGTTAGATGCTTGTTACCTGAAAAAAGTAACGATAAATGTGAAATTATCATAAAAGTAGCAAAATCTAAACAAAGTAGTATTTTGACTTCCATGCAAAATAACCAGTCCCTTTAACTGTAGTTATTGCCAAAAAACAACATATATAAAAGATTTGTTATGAGCAACATTTTATGTGCAAAAATTGAAAAGCTCTTGAGAATAAAAATTAAAGCATTTCTAAGGCGTAATTTGCCTTTTAATGCTTTATTTTCATTTTATTTACTCTTATAAATAAAACTTTTATCTGATTTATCAACAATACAGTTATAATCATCTCACATTTCTGCATATAGGTTTGCAACATGCAAATGAACTTCTCGCATCTTTATTGTATGAAAGGATATTTTCAATTAACCAATGTGTGGAAATTGAACTAATGTATATAAATTCTAACCGATACAGTTCAACATCTCGGCAAATGTAGCTTCAACCACCCCCGTCCCCGTTCCCGCCGCCCCTGGCCCCGTCCCTTCTTCCATAAAAAAGCGGATTTAACAGTGGAAGCTTGTTTATAATATGAAAGATTTACCTACAGTATTTATAAATCTGATAATTTAATCCTCAAAAATTCTTTAAAATTCGTTAAAATTGTTTACTTTATTTACTGTATGATAGAACGAGAGGTCTTATAAAAGTGTATCTATATCGAGCATACTATCAAAAGGTGTCACTCTGTAAGTATGGGTTCCTTTACCATTGTACATATCATGATTTAATCTGAACATTCACATACTTTTTTAATGTATTTCATTTTAGTTGTCGTCTGATGCCTGTGACATTCTATAAAATCTTAAAAGTATACAATTTGTATTAGAATTATAAATGATGATCATAATTCATAGAAAATGTAAGAAACACAATGTACTTTTAGATGTAGTAAAGTGAAAATGTCGCGATTTATCTGTAAAGGGTAACAACTGATAATGTTTGTTTTTCTATAAAGCTAGTTCAGTTAACTCCCTTCAATATTAGCAGTTATTTTTTCAAACATGTTTGAACAATAAAGTACTGCGAAAGTCAAATATGATTTCAGCATTAATATTGCCAATATTTTGTCCGGATATCTATAAAAACAAAACATCAGTTTTGAATAATTCAAGACAGTATGTCAAAGTTTCAGATGATAACAAGCGAGTGTTTCTGATTTAGAGGTGAAAGAGTAACAGAACAATGAGTCAAAGTTATGGCATTGTCGATTGTTTAGAAAACCTTTTCTCTGTGTAAATATTGCATCACAAGATATCAACTTTTGCTCGAGTATCGTCACCCGCAATCCATATACGATTATATGTATATTTACATGTTACGATGTACAATGTATGTATGACTTATTCCAGATGACTGTTAGTACTGTTGCAACTGATACCGATTTTTAATCATTCGGAATATACCAATTTCCTTGCTTACATGATGTATATCATGAGATGTCGGCTTCTATTGTTCGTGTAATTTGATTGATTGATTGATTTTCTTTAGACCGGACGGTCAAGGATAACCTACGAAAGTGCAAGCACTTATTTCCAGTAGGGTCCTTACCTCAGCAGACACTAGAGACAGCTATGAGATACAAGGAAATCCGGGAACCAGTCCCTAGCTCTTATTGAATAGATTCCTTGGTTCTTTTACATGCCCGGTGTATAGCACTGATACATGCGAGGATTACCTAGGTTTCGTACCAGTAAACCTCTAGTTAGGTGGGAAACACTGAAAGTGTTTCTGAAAAATCCCAAGGGTGTTACCCAGGATCGAACCCGGAACCTCAGGAGTGACAGTCAGTGGTCTAACCAACTGAGCTATCGCGCCACCATATTTTTTATTTGCATAGTCGTGAGATTTGTAGTGGAATTTTAAAAGGCCCATTGTACCCTAGAAATGTTTATATTCTTAATTCTCAGCAGTTTGTTTTAATTTTTTCGTGTCCAGTTATAGTTTCCATAAAATAGTACATTTGATATTTACCTGAGGCGTATTTTGCTTCTGTTGCTTTTTGGCATCAATATAGCTTTCGTGATTAAGTATTTTTATGGAAGTCAAATTTGTTTACATTCTACTATCTTTATGACGAATTAATTTACATTCAGCACTATTATCATCAAACAATGAGCATCTAACATGCTTTAAATCTATTATTTTAAACATTTTAAATGCATTTTGTCCTTTCTAAAGGACAAATTTATTAGTTTCTGAGACATAATGAGCCTTTAAAAAAGTTACACGTCTTTATTTCTCAAATTCCATGCGGCGATTTGCTTTTGAGGACAACATATTGTAACCAAATAACAATTTAACGAACAGTGAAATGTTTACACACTTTCGGAGGTTACATATTAACACATGAAATGTAAATTCGGTAATATCTTTACAAATAATGATATTTTGAACTTACAGTATTGATAAATCTTCGTTTGAGCACCAGATTTATGATATAAAACTGTAACAAATTTCAGTTATAAGATCTTTAAGCTAAAGTGTTTTAATGAGGAAAGAAACCCAATCAAGAAACTTTTCTGAAAAAAAAATGTTTCAGCCTTATGATACTATATGACTTCCAGGATGTACGCATGTTCACTGTAGGTGTTCGATATAAAAAACTTTATAGTGGTCTACTTGGAGATGCAAAATAGAATCTTGTGGTTAACATTTATGTCAAGTAGTTTCATTTCCACATCCATAAGTTCATAAGATACAGACCGGACACGTTCTTGTCAACAGACGGACGGATGGGCTACCATGTGCATAACAATATATTGTACGCCGATTTTTTTAAGGCGTAGATAAAAGTGTATATTTCGTTCCAATCGAAAGATCTGCCTAATAACCATACATAACGTCCAAGCCATTGATAGATCCATATATAAAAGATTTAACCAGAATTTTTTACATGACTGTGCAACTATATTCTGGAGAACCAGAAATCTTATAATTAGTATTAGGCAGAGGTCAGGGATATATGCTTTATCGAGGAATAAATACTTCCGACACTTACAGTGGATCACAAAGTTAATTTTACGGTCGAATATGGATTGAAGACATAACATTGAAAATAAAAGACACAAAATCTAAAGAATTTATACAATTTAATGATGTAAGAGCGTATAAATTTATTTTGATTCCGAAATCCAAAGCAAAACCTAGCATGCTTTCTTTCGGGTTATCCTGATTTGACTTTATAATACAAATGGTGTATACATAAAAATATGCAAAATACATTATAATATAGATAATTTGAGCACATGTAGAATACTGTAGATATGATATATAATTGGTTAAAGGCCCATAATGCCTCAGAAATGATATCGTTTTTACTTCCCAAAAACTTTTAATTTTTCGTATCTTGTAACAGTTTCCCAAAAACTACTCATTATTCAACTGTTAAACATCTCAACATGGTCTGAAAAAACATTATTAAAACATTACTAACACATGTTTCATATTTTCGAAAGACTTAAAGAAAGAATAAATATGGATTTTCTGAGGCATAATTGTACATTGTACCTAAATAAAAGAACATAAAAGTTTATGTAAGATTTAATCGTTTACAGTCAAAGTGAGAAAACCCTAGTTGCAAATGAAAATAAAATACTCTATGAAAAGAACTTCATTATTGCTGGTTTAAAAATGTAGATTTGAACTGAATAAACTTGTGGTAAATATTAAACTGTTTAAAACCTATATAGTAAAGGTGTGTCCGTTTTATAACAGGTAGATTTTTACATTAATTTTATAATAGGTATAGCAATAAAGAGATAAAAGTGGAAAATGTCAGATAACAAAAAAAGTAAAAAACGCTGTAAAAAGTTTTATGCACACTCTACGATCGCGTCTCAAGATAGATTCCTGACCCCGTGTTCACTTAGAAACAAAACGTCTGGACAAGGATCAAATAATCCTGAATTTATTTTCATTGTTGAATGAAATTACAACTAGTGGTATTAGGCTATAATTGTATATAAACAAAAGTGTAATAAAATATTTTGAGATGAAATTGAGAAACTTTAATAACATAAAAAATCGGATAATAATAAGGATAAATATTACGTGCAATATCAATATTTGAATTAACTGTAAATTACTTATATCTTGGTCAGTTTTAATAAAAGTAATTCATCCCTACAGTATTTGAAGTACAACTTTTATCAAGTTAATATTGAATGTTTAGTCTATGAGGATAAACAATGATTTTTTTTTTGTTTTTAGATTTTTTAAAACTTTTTTTTGTTCCTTAAATGTTAGAGAACACGGGGCCTGGATATATTTAATGGTTACTTCTCTTAGTCAGAATTACATTTGAAAAAGTAATCATCAATAGAAATGCGATTCAGACAAATAATAATCAATTCTTAATCAGTCACAAACGACAATTTTCAAAAGCATCAATAAATTACATTTACCTCGTAAAGAAACTCAAGTCAACCTTTTTTGGATAAGAATAGATAAATTTTGATGTAAACGTAATGATAAATGTGTTCTATTACAAATGTTCGCAATACTTAAATGAAATTTAGACAATTTTGACAATGTTGTTTGTTCATGGAGAATAATATATGCATGTATTTTGCTGTTTGTATTTATAAGCATGATGTTCACTTCATAATACTGTTTAAAAATCAAGCTAAATACAAAAAAGTGATAAATCTTTTAAAATGAAATATTGATTAACAGCAAATCATGTTCTATTTAAGGTTCTACTTTTTGCATTTTTTAAAAAGAAATCCGCATCTCTCCTGCTAATTTAACATAGTAACTGTAATATCATAAAATCGTTTTCCGGTTAAAGTCACTAAAAATTCACCTTTAGTTCGCTTTGCAATAAATATACTAAGTACAGATTTTTGTCAAATTCTTTGGCTAAATATTTCCTCAACTTCAATCCTTCATTTAGATATTTCAATATTCATGCCTCGCTGTCTTCAAAAGAACTTTGCTTATATCGCCCGACGTTTGCTATATAGTCATAGTAATACGGTGGAGGGACAGCTTCGTCATAATTTGGTGGCGAGACAGGCATATCGTTGTGTTCATCGTCAATTTCACTTGCCTCCGTATGTGTTTCACTAGAATCTATCCCAGTCCGTGCACTCAACGCGTTCCTTATATCACTAACAATAGGTGCGTTTTCCTCATCACTATCTCTTACCTCATTAAGAGTAGAGCTGTCCCTGTCTGCACTTATTGGATCGCTAAAGTTTATCACATTTTGTGTATCACAGCCACCTACCACATACCCCATACCGTTTTCATTTTGTACAGACTGCCTCACAGTTACGTGTTCTGCCGGCAAAACTAAAGAATCACTTTGTGAATCCCAGTCGGATTCGGAATCAATTCCCAACGCAGTCTGTGTATCACAGCCACTTACAACAGACCCCATATCGTTTTCATTTTGTACAGACTGCCTCACAGACACGTGTTCTGCAGGCAAAACTGAAGAATCACTTTGTGAATCCCAGTCGGATTCGGAGTCAATTCTTAACGCAGTCTGTGTATCACATCCACTATTCAAAGTTCTAAAATCATCTATTTGTTCTTGTCGCAAATGTGAAGATGCACATTCTGAGCTCCAGTCTGAGTCTGTGTCTGCTCTTAATTCTGTCGGTATATCACCACCACACATCTCATTTTGTGTACCATTCTCATTTTGTAATTGATGTGCACCAGAATTAAGTTCTGCAGACAAAATTGTTGTGTTACTTTGAGTATCAAAGTCTGAGTCTGTCGAATAATTATCAGAAAGTTCTACAGCAAAATCATTTAAGTAAAGATTTAAAATGGAAGTCGTGTCTAGTTCTGGCTCTATTAATACATCAGAATTTATGTTTTGTCTATCTGTATTATTAGTAGCCTCATTTTGATTCACACTGTCGTTTTCATATATGATTATATCATCTGGAGTTGCGGAATGTTCAAAACTCTGAAATGCAGGCAATGTTGGATTTTCAGATACAACGTCTTCGTAAAGAGGAGCCGGCTCTTCTGGTTGCATATATGAATATGAAGGAGTGCTCGTTGTCATGGCTTCTTCATAAGATGGCGGTTCGATGTCTGTTTGTGATATATCAGTCATAGGGGGAAACGGCATAATAACTTGGACTTGTTCAACTTGACTTTCATCATCAGCAAAAGCTGTGTTATCTACGGCGTCAGTTGTTGATATGTCGTCTTCTGTTTCTGGATTGTTCGGTCGCAGACGATTTCTGATAAATTCCGGAAGACGTGGTTTAGGTAGACGTGATAAGTTCACCTTAAAAAGGAAAAATGCAATGTCACAAATGTGAGGCATGAATGAACTCGTACACAGTATTGGCGAAATTATAGTAAACATAATATTGCAAAACCATGTAAATAAACAGTATAATAAATAATACACTTGGCAATTCAGTCAACTTTGATGTCATGGGTACAAAAAATGGCTGAAACTTTTGGAATAAATTAAACAGAATCAAATCTGAAATATGGTCAACTTTTCAAATGCCTATTTTCAAGACGCTACTCGAAAAGTGTCGCTTCTACCTTAAAATTACTCTCCCATACAAAACGGGTCTAAAAACATCATCATATATATTAACAGTTGATAAATATGCACAGCAGTTAATTTGCAGTTTTCACGAGATAACGGGTACTTAACGTTATGTTTCACTTAACACAGATATAAACATCCCTTTTTTCACACCCGTGCACATGTTGCGAGTGGAACAGCTTGATGGAGGCAGAACTTACTACGTAAATGTAAGTTTTAAACCGGAGATTACCAATAAACGTTTTTCTTAATTTGTCTCTTTTTATATATAGACATATTTTTCTATGATGTATTGTGCAGCAATCGATTGCAGGATAAAAAAGTACCAAGCGCACACTTGTTCTACCGGCAACCAACAGATCTACTGGCAACCAATTAACAGGTGTGTGTTTATTTTAAAAAAAATATACGTTGCAACGGTTTAAAGTTACAGCATCATAAACATAGCAAGCATTTAACTTTTATGAGTTTTTTTTTCTTCGAACAAGAGATGTATTAATCATCTTGTTCCATACAAATGCACAAGCCTGTTGTGAAATTTTATCTTTCGGTGATATTAATATCAAAACGCCTTAACTACAATATTCGGGATAGTAGCTTTAAAACAATCATTCAACCTAAACTTCTGCACTTGACTATCATTGGGCTACTTATTTATTGCCAATTTTTAAATCGTCCTATAGCATTTGTGCTAAGTAAGACGCATATGAAATTAATGTGATTGTAAACGGTGACAATGGCGTCACATAATACAAAAACTATTTGTGTTATTACATAACAAGAGAAAAACATACCGTTTTACAACAGTTGGTACATTTCAGTCTCATATTGCAGCATGAATCTTCCACACAATCTGTTGCATTTCTATATTTCTGCTTGGCCCATTTTCCTATTGATTTAAGTAGATGAAATATGCAAATACATGCAATTACGATTAACACGTATTTAATAATGTCGCCGAACCCAATACCGCTCTCCACTGTATCCATCGTGTCATCGTCACAATTGTAATCTACGTCACCGCAAGCGTTAATACTATCCGAGCAATTGTAGAGGTAAGGAATGCAGTGTCCGTTACTGCATTGATGGCTAAATGATTCGTGACAGGTTCCTGAAAAATAATAAATAATGAATGGTCTAGAGTAGAAGCTAATATATTTATATAGTGTTACATATATTTATGATTTTCATAATTTTCCACATCTTTTTGTGTTATTTTTACATTTTTTGTTTGTTTCATTTTACGCCTTTTCCCAACAATATTTCAGTTATATAGGCGGGTAGTTTTCTAACCATCGTTCCTGGAGAGTTACACCAGTACTAGACTACCTTCCTCAGCGCTAAACTACCAAAGCATCTCACGGGGATCGAACCCACGCCAGAGAGCCAACTGGATTAGAAGTTATCGACTCTAACCCATCGGTATGTTACTTTTACAACCCTGTGTTACGATATATGCAATGTGGTTATAAACATACAAAATAAAAGACATTTCTAACTGTGACAATGGTTTGCAAAAAATAACAGCACCAAAGTACATACCTGTGTGATATGAAATAAACTTCAGACGGAAGTGACCTCTAAACTTTTCCCAATGATTCTGCAAGTTTACATGCACTTGTAATCGAAGACTTTTACCAGTTGATGAAAAAACGTAAGATGTCAAAGAAGAATTCAAACCACATATGAATCTTGGAAGCCCTAAACAATAAAGAAACGTACACTTAGTTATGAGCAAATGTTTAATTGAGAAACGAATAAATATAGATGTTTTATATCGATACACTTCAGCAATTTTTGGCCCAACATATTTTGATTATAAAAGCTGTCAAGAGCAGAAAAATAATTTAGTTTTCAAGACCCTCTTCTAAGTAAGAATGTTATCAAGATCACTGGATATAATATTTTAGGTGCCCACTCGCGCATATATACAACGTATTTAGGGGCCCACTCGTGCATGTTAACGATATATTTAGGTGTCCGCTCGCGCATATATAAACATATTTAAGTGCCCACTCGCGTACATTAATACGATATACACTTAACGAAACTTATAAGTACTCCGATTTCAAACTTGCAGGAAAACTCCGGTTTTTAAAAATATATACTAAACTTGAAGGTATTTGATTTTTTTACAATGGTGTTCTCAGTTACTGATTTTCTGTTAAGTTTGAGTTATTGTAAAATGCATTTACTATTATAAAATGATGATACTATCATTAAAGTTTATACAGTATCGACTTAGACTAGTTATAGTTATTCTAACACAATATAATAAAATGGTCGGAGTACTTATAAGTTTCGTTAAGTGTATTAACACTGATTAAGGTACCCGCTCGTGCATGTATACGATATACTTGTATTCAGATGTCCACTGGTGCATCGAGGAATATTTAAACTCTTCCCCTAAATCAGTAAAAGCAGGGAACATGAAAACAGTTTAGGAACAAAATAAAGGAAGATCCTACGTATATATTTTATGGTATACTTCTTACCTTGAACAATACTTGCTGATCTACCTATCCCGTCCAAGACAGAAACGTTCATCGAATCACAAGCCGACTGAAATTCGAATGTTGTAAAATAAAACATCACTTTGTTCCCGCCAAAATCGACGCTGGCCGGTGTTATAGTAAGATTGCATTCTTCTACTCGACCGTTGAAACTGGCAACGTCGAAATACACTTCACCTGCGGTGTCTTTAATGTTCTTTACATATTTAGTTCCACAGAATAAATTCATGTTCCCTGGATAAAAACATGTTAATTAATAATTGATGAAGTTATTATAATAATAGCTTAATACATTGTTAAATTGATGGGCAGAAAGGCTCTGTTGTAGTTGTGGGCGACTTGTTCAACATGTTTTTGTCTTCTAATATATTGAAATCAGATAAACATAATAATTTTTTATTGTATGTTAACAAGACTTATTTTGCATAAAACGAAAAAAAGAAGATTAGTGTGTAGCAATTTGTGTAAGAAAAAAAGTTTACTACATCACGGATCCGTGACTACATGTACTTAAAGGTCAAACTTATATTGCATGTATCTTTATAACTTAAAGGTAAAATCGCATAATTTTATTATGATTTTTAAGAAAAAATTCCGAAATATACACACTAAAGTAGTCATGTCTCATATTACGACATAGATTTATCTTCTTGATTAAATTCTTTAAAATAGTCTTATATATTCATCACTGAAGTTGTGACATAATTGAAGTTTAACATGTTATTATTGTCACTGGATATATCATATAGAATAACGTATATACATGTAATATATATAGTTAACTAGTTTTCGAGGTACGAGAACATGTATTACTATTTGTTATGTCATAAGCGGATTCTGGCCCAGGCTTTAGGGCTGCAGCCAACCACCCCAGCTCAGCTCAAATATATATACAGTGTAATGCTTTATCTATTGGCAGTAGTGTACTCCCTAATTGATAAATAACGTATGATAAACTTTATATTAAACTTACATGATGTAAGTCCAGTACATAATCCCTCGTTGAGCAAAATCATGAACACCAAACTTCCTATAGACACATTCATTCTTTTTATTTTTATTTAATTGTCATGTTTAGTACACTTAAATCTTACGAATTCTGTCCGACATTTTCTATATAAATAGGTTCTCTTTTTAATGTGTATTTCGAAATTTGACATACTTAATAACTACACGATTTTGCAATTATTAAATCCTTTTCCGATATGTTCATAAAGTCTTGTTTAAGTAGTATTGTGTATAGGTGTTTGTTGGGTTATTGATTACTATTTGTATAGCGGTTTAATCAGATCAATACACATACCCGTATGTATATTTAGTAGTTGGATCAGGTAATATTTCAGTCAGTAATGCCAAGCTCGTTAAACTTCGGTCAACTTCGTAACTTTACGTGTTTTGCCTCGTGGTCATATAGGTGAAATGTACGTTAAATACCCACACAACAAAAAACATGTGGTCGAATGATTTCTTCAAATTGACACCCATTATTATCAAGTAAATATATAATTATCACTGTACTATATACATGGAATAGATCGTTCAAGTTCTTAATATGTTAGTTTAAAGCATTCTAATATTTTCCTTAAACAAGGGAAAATTCTAATACACATGTCAGTCAGGCAATCAATCAGCGAGCGATCAATCGATCGATCGAATAATCAATCAGTTATTCATTTTCCAATCAAAGTGTTGCTTTGTCAGATTTTTTTCAACGTTTATTCGGTTTTAAAAAGGCAATAAAAGTAGCAAACTGCACATTAATTTATTCATTATAATCAAAGCACTGAAAGTATTGGCAGACATATTCACTGATGTTCTTGTTACACAAAGCAGAATATGGACGGTCACATTGTATTTGATAGATTGAAATATTAATGATCTAAAATGGATGCATTGGGTGTCTTGTTCTTGATTTGAAAATATGTAAAATATAAGAAATAATTAGAAACATTATCATTTACTCAAACTTTAATTATTATCAAACTTAGTAAGCAATTTCTATAGGGGCGATTGGTTTATTTTGCTGTCCCCTTCTCCCGCAATCCTTTATTCGCTTATTTTTGTTTGCTATGTTTAAAGAGACGTACGTATAGCGTTAAAGAACACTCCATTGTTGTGCTGATATTTGAGCCGCGTCACGACAAAACTAACATAATGGGTTTGCGACCAGCATGGATCCAGACCAGCCTGCGCATCCGCGCAGTCTGATCAGGATCCATACTGTTCGCTATCAGTTTATCTACTAGTTATACGGTTTGTAAGCGAACAGCATGGATCCTGATCAAACTGCGCGGATGTGTAGGCTGGTCTGGATCCATGCTGGTCGCAAACCCCTTATGTTGGTTTTGTCGTGACGCGGCTCATTTATAGGTGGTTCTATGAATCCTCAGGACATTGTCCCTGGTTGTTAATGAAAACTATGAATGAGTTCATGTACGTAGATTATAATTAAAGAAATGTAAACACATGTACAAAATAGTTCTTTATTACGAAATATAAAAGTATAGAAAAGTATAGAATTATCTGTGAATATATAACTTTGAAAATTAAAATATATCTCTATCACATAAGCGAGGTATCTGAGGTTAATGTCGAAAATGTTAACAGAACAGAAATGTATAAATAAACATATGTGCATACACATTCTAAATGTAGCATTCAAAATGCTCAAATATACACATTCCATTTACATACTACATGTACATAATTTGAGAAAGAAATCTCGTCTACAAATAGTAGAAGAGAAACAATATAGGCTTTTTAGCTGATATTTTTCTTTATGATTAACTTTTAAATAAATTTAATTAAATATTTTGCACATACACGTATAAAATATCATACATAGGCAATTTAACCGGTTTAAGATACGGAAAAAAATAAAGGCTCATATTTTCTGCATAAAAACTTTGGCACAAACAATAAAGTAAAAATAGGAAAATGCAAATGCATCTAGTATTCTAGAGGTAGCTCTATTTTCCCAAATATCTCTTTTACATGTCTGTTTTGTATTTGTCCTTATTTTCGATAACTTCCTCATATGATGGAGCGCTCGCATATGATGACGTCATGACTTCGTCATAAGAAGGAGGAGGAGCTGATGGGGTAGTTGGTTCTTGTAAACTTATTTGCGCATCTGATGCAGGATCTTCGTTCAAAATAAGGTCAGATTCTGATGAAGACGAATCATAAGATTCATCTAAAGTTCCCCCTGTTTCCCGCTCATTTTCACTTGTATATGACGGTTGTAAACCAGTAGAGTTGTCGACAGTCTGAAGTTGAAGACTGTTTCTGCGAGCAGAAGAATTTGAAGATCGGTGCCCCTGAAATTAAACATGTTATTTTCTTTGTAATCGAAACCTCATAATATACATAGAATATCTATAAATAAATAAATCTTTTATAGATTGATGCAAAACATATGTTTGAATATTGTTATACATTGTATATTGTACTTGGCAATGCACGCTTTATAATAAATATACTATATATAACCAGATATCTATTTGACTTAATTTTGTGGTTGGAAAAAATACTCAATAAATGAATCGTATTACAAAAAAATGTATATATTTTTTGAGATCGAGATACATTTTATATATAAAAAAAAACATTTTCATTAAATAGATCTTATTGTGTTATACGTTCGCATTGCATCCCTGACAAAGCTGCGAGTGTCAATGTTTTCATTAAACAGTTTCTATGCTAAACAAAAAATAGTGCTAAGCACTACAATTAGTGGATAGGTCAACCTAGTTTAAGCAATACTTCTTGTTCCCTGCTTTTTAATTAAAGTAGCCGATGCCATATAATAAGTTTTTCAAGCAAACAAGAAAGAAGCCATTTTCAACCAGTATAGGGCCTACAATATTTTGCAAGTTGGGTAACTATTTATCAATGTTAATACAACCCATAATTTCATAGTGAATTTAAAACTTTGAAATATCTATTCCATAAAGATAGAATATATCACCAATAATTACCGTATGAAAACGATTAAGTATATTCATATCTAAACAATTCCTGCAGGAATCACACCGACCAGAGGATCTAAATTTGTCCTTGTATTTCTTCCAAAGATAATTTAATACACACAGCCCGATGAGAACCGGGATAATCCAACTGTATTTCTGTATAAAATCCCCAATATTCTCTACTAACTCTGTTATAACGTCAAGTATATCACAAGCTTGTTCACGGACATCGTCATCTCCGCAAACGTTGACGTCATCAGAACACTTGTATTGATCTGCTATACAGCGTCCATTGGAACAGTTAAACACATCGCTTCCCACACATTCTCCTGTACGCAAAAATATTGATTATTAATAGAACTTATTATCTAATTGACTGACTGATTGATTGATTGAATGAATGAATGAATGGATGAATGAATGAATGAATGAATGAATGAATGAATGAATGAATGAATGAATGAATGAATGAATGATGGATGGATGGATGAATGAAAGAATGAATGATTTGATTTGCTTTGCTTTGCTTTGATTGTCTGTTTGTTTGTTTGTTTGTTTGTTTGGAGTGGGTTATAAGTCACAATGTAAAGGTCAATGGCTTTCATGATTTACAGGAGAAGAAGAGCTCAGTTAACCCTTCTTACATGATTTCAGTCATGAGCGGCCACCTGAGTAGAACCACCGGCCTTTATATCATTAATAATATTCATTATGTTTCTTAATTTTGTGAAGTTCAGAAAGATATTTCTGAATCTAAAACGCAATAATAATAACACAAATGAAAACTTTGGTATAATTTAACGCTTTAATACTAAACGCTTCATACATTTCAACCTCACTCACCTGAAGAAATGGCTATAAACTTTATATTAAAGTTCCCTCTGGAGTGTCTAGCAATATTTTGTCTTTGGAATGTAACGATGAAAACGTCTGCGCTAGTTGTGAAAATTTGGGAAGGTTTTTCAAGTGTTTCGTTGTGCCCACACAAATACTTTGTTAAACCTGCAAGTATAAAAATATACTTAAAAAAACATAATATGAACCTTCAGTCAGCTATATCTTTATGGCAATAACATGGCGATATTTGAAATTTCAATGGTCTATTACATGTATCTGTAAAGGAGATTTCGGTATATTGCAGTGAACAGTATGATCAGACGGCATGTATATACTTGCAACTTGGTCGGACTCGAAATCATGACTAAAGAATTTTTTTCATAGCTAGAATGAGGTAATTAGACATGTATTGCTGAAAATTGTAACATGACATTCTTTCCATGTCATGTAAATAAATGGAAAAAAGTTGATGCCAAGGAAGCACTAAAACAGCAAAATTATATGAAAATCGCAGACTCGGTTTAATTGCGTCTGAACATAATGGAAAAGGTGCAACATCCCTCACGCCCCTAGCACCGTCTTGAGCGGCACTCAATCTTCAACTCTTATAAGTGCTGGATCCAAGGCTACAGAGGAATTCGCTATGCTCAAACTCAAATCTCAGGTATTTCAATGGTCAGTAACTGCCACAGAATGTACACTGACCAATGAAAATCATGATATTTGAGACAGAACTCAGAAAAAAATTTTATATCCATGAGGCCTGGACTCGAAGATCCCGAAGGACCAGAAGTCCTGTTTTCATCTTTCTTAAAGTGGTATACGAAGTGACACTGCGCTTGAAATCTTAAAAAAAGACATATTTAACATATTATAATACCTTTGATTTAGAATTTGTTTCGTCGGGATAGCACATTATTACCGCTATTTGCGTATGCTAAATTTACCATAAGTGTCAGTGGATGTTTCTTATGGATGCTGGCTAAAATACTCAATACTCAAAGAATCAGAATTTTGCTGGTTAAATAAAAAATGATTGCACAAGCATGGAAACACGGGAGGAATAATAACAATGGCAATTATCCGAGTACATTATCACGTTAGCCTACAGTATAGTTCAACTAGAAGTGCTGATTATATTATTAACTGCTCACCTTGAACTGGTTTCCCTAGTATTGATTCTTCCTGGACTGTCACATTCAAGTAGTCGCATGTTTCACTTAAGTCAAACTTTGTAAAGTAAAACGAGACTAGTATAGGTTGCGGGAGAGAGTCTGACCTCGGTTGTACTGTCACACTGCATTTGTTACCGAAGCTGTAGGACGATAGCTTCTGTGCGTCAAACCGAAGTTCGCCAGCTTCATCATTTATAGTGTCTGTACATATATCATGAAAATCATCTGAAATAACCAAGACATACAGTAAGTGTTAATTCTGTTTGAATTATAAATACAACTGTTATCCGAAGATTGTAATGACGGAGGAATTCTTGTTTTGAGTAGCATACGTTTTCCTGTGTATATATTTGTAAAATAGTCTAATACCCCATACCATACCATATACAATGTTGCGTTGAAATAAAATTGAAAATAAACGAGCCGCGCCACGACAAAACCAACATAATGGGTTTGCGACCAGCATGGATCCAGACCAGCCCGCGCATCCGCGCAGTCTGATCAGGATCCATGCTGTTCGCATCAGTTTCTCTTCATGTTATAGGGTCTGTAAGCGAACAGCATGAATCCTGATCAGTTTGCGCGGATCCATGCTGGTCGCCATTCCATTAAGTTGGTTTTGTCATGACGCGGCTCAAATGCTATAACATAATTTTGTCGTGATGCTTATAAGCAATTGACATTCTTGATGGTATTGCAACCAACATCGGTCAGAAAGCAAGTGATTCGACGTAATTATTTAAAGAACTATATACACTTTATACGAGTATTACTTCGAAATTGGGGCTCGAATGCGTAGCTTTAAATACATGTACATGCCGATGTACATTTGATATCGTGAAATTTCCTTTTAGTTTTAATAAAATTGTTGCATTATTGGTATATTCCTTAAACGTTTACAACCCAGTTGAATTACCGACACCATAAAATAACGTATAAAATGTCGTATCATGACGAAACCGTCCAGTTAGAGTTGGAAAGTGAATCGGACAACCCGGGTTCGATTCTCGGACGGTGCAGGTCGCTTTCTTGGCTTACTGTCCTGATCCCGAGGATACTATACTACCCAAACCACTACATATCATAACTTATAATACTTTTTCCAAAAGAAATTTGCATAAGTTGTCAAATGTACTAAACTGTTTGAATGTTTTTTATAAAGTATTTCATTCAGTTCTTTTTTTATCTTTACTTGAATATTGAATAGTCAAGACATATTTTCTCACATAATATTACAATTATCATTTCGTAGACATTTACAAGTTATAAAGATATTGGTGAAGAAAATTAATAACAATTTATATTAAATACAAGGTTGATATAATCGATTGATATAATGAACACATTGTATTTATAATGATTGGGTATAAATTAGATTTAATCTTGAACTTACATGTCTTAAATCCTGCACATCTTCCGGTCAGTATCAATGGAATAAGTATGCCACATATAATACAATTGTTTAACATTTTAAACATGATGTTTCAATTTTCAACCTATCCTTTTTTATACAACCTATCCTTTTTTATAAAAAGCACATATTTTGTGTTAAAATGATAAATGATGTAAAAAGAAGAATTTAAAACACATTTTAAGATCTGATCATTTACATCTTTACGAATGGTATATATCCAATATATAAATACAGTCCGTACATAGTATGTAGTACAAATAATCTATATTCTATTTATATCTCAGGTATGTGTAATATAATAATGGAATGTTTACGGCGAACGGAAAGTGTAAATCAATGTTCTGAAAACCCTGGTTTTTGACCCATAAATATGTTAATCACAAGTCCGTCAGTAATCCTTAGGTTATGTTTATATACTGGCGTATTGAAGTAATTTATTCAGTAATATATTTCAGGCTGGTCTGGATCCATGCTGGTCGCAAACCTATTATGTTTGTTTTGTCGTGACACGGCACAAATACCAAGATAATCGGATAAAGATCAATATTTTGACCAACTTTAAAATACCTATATCTTGTAAAATTAACAACAAATTAATTCTGAAATTTCATGAACATGCTATTTCAAGTTCAGTTTTATATAGTTAAAATTTTTAATTTAATCTAAGAGGATGAACAATGGAAAATATATGAGTTGTTCAATTTGATCCTGTTCTTCAATCCTGATCCTTAAATCTAAGTGAACAAGGGGCCTGGTCATTTTAATTCTTGAAGTTGGATACATACATGTGTAAAGATTTGCATAACTAAATTTATTACATAAGGGGGCAAGGTGACAATATCCGAGTTTGATAACATAAATAAGAGAATCAAGTTTAACCAGTTTATTTAAGTCTCATTGCAATAAAAACAAGCATATTTTATTCGAATATAAAACATTGTTATAGCCTCTGAAAGTAGTTCTTTTAATCGATTGTGGTATTTTGGCTTATCTTTTTATTGATTTTTTTTTTTTCTGTTTTGTTGTTGTTGCTTTTCTGAATACAATTGTTTTAAAACTATGAAGGAACTTTGATTAAATACGCCAAATTATTGAAATATACATTGTATATCGAGCGAATTCCTAAAAAAATGTGCATCTTGGTGAAGATTGCATATTTTCATTGTCGCTACTAAATTCATATATCCCTGATAAATACTGAACTATAGGCGTGTAACTGACGAAAAAAATGTAATAGTGTTATAAATATTGCTTAATATGGGACCCCTTCCCACTGCTTGCTTAAGGTCGGTTAAACCTGAATGTAATATACATTGTAAATCAATGTAAATAATAGATACATTTACGTATGTAGAGGCGTTCTAACATCAATGTTTCATTGAAACAAATCAAGTATAGAATTTAGTCGTTCATCGCTTAAGTCCCCGAAGTGACGTTAATTTATTTATTGTGACGGTTGTTTTCATTTACAATCTAATTCATTAGTTACATTTTAACTTAATAGATGATATATGACACTAAAAGTGTCAGTTCGAATTAAAAATGATAAAGAGATTTCATATCATTAAGTAAAGTAGCGACCTTGTGAATAAAAAAAACACGAAAAGATGATTATGATATCCGAATGAATTAAGCCTCGTGCATTCAACAAATCAAGCATTTTAACGTTAAATCGTTCTTAGAGCATTCCGTATGTTACACAGCTTATTTTAAATTTCAGCCCAGTTTGTATGTAGCACCATAGCCGGTATTTTCATTCTTGTATGAGTCGACAGAAGGCAAATTAACTTGCCAACATCATTTTCATGAATGATCTTGAAAAGTAAGCAATTTCTTGGAAATAATCTTGATGAGGGATAAAAAATAATAATGTCCACGCGTTGGATATCCTGCCAGGTATCCGCTTATAAGTATTCTGCGATACTTTTTGCGCAAATCTTGCGTTAATTAATCATTCCGGCGTTACTGGATATACACAGTGAAATCGCTCGTGTTTAATCGTCGCAAATATATGAAATTACAATAGTAGTAAATGTACCTAATTATAACACTAAAGTATCAACAATGAAGACGGCAGACAATGAACTAAAAACACAAGAACCATCACACAAAACCGCTGGTACGGAACCCAGCAGGGCACAGGGAAAAACAGGAGGCCAAAAGGACGTAAATTTATCTTAGTTGTGATATCCACTCAGTGACGTCATCATACAGCTGTAACCGCGGTATAACACCATCATTGTAAACACATTTCACCTAGTCATATTATTATTATCATCATTATAGTTGTTGTTGTTGTTTTGTTGTTGTTGTTGCTGCTGCTGCTGCTGCTGTTGCTGCTGCTGCTGTTATTATTGTTGTTGTTGTTGTTGTTGTAGTTGTTGTTGTCGTCGTCGTCGTCGTCGTCGTCGTTATTATTATTAATATTATTAGATCTATTATTATTTTTAATCATTTATATTATCATTTTTTATAATAATAATAAAAACAATCACGTGTATGATTATCTATGTCTTTCGAAACAATAGCAGTCTCATGGTCTTGTAGTTATCATAACATTCCATTAATCAAATGATTGCATCATTGTACAAACATTTAAAGATAGATATATTAAATATCGACAATTTCGCTCATCATCGTGTTCATCGTTGTTACATAGTTTGACCATCTTCGACAATTGGTATCTTTCAGCTCCCTAACTTCATGTAAATCCTGTCATTAAAGTCTACTCATCGTTCCAACAATACTTCTTTACAAAAAATATTAAGGGGGAAATATAAATAAAAACCTTTGCTAAATTTTGGAAATAAAGATATTTACATAGCAAACATATTGCAGTTTTGCTCATTTTTATGCCTTACTGTCGCAGAATCGTACAGAATATAATTATGTGCATGGTGGGATAGAATTTACGTACGTTTTATAAAAAGATACACGACAATATACATATCATATGTGAATTGCAATATTGGACGATATTGATCACCTTGTCCTTACTAAAGCATTTCGTCCTGAAAACTGGACAGCTAGTTTAAAAATTTTGGCACTAGTGAAAAGTTATAGGCAAATTATCACACATTTATTTCATATTTGTTTTTATTTTGCATTACTTCTTCATATGATGGAACGCTGGTCGTCGTATCTGATGACGCTACGACTTCATCATAAGAAGGAGGAGGGATTTCTGGAGAAGTTGGGTCTCTTATTTGTTCATCTGATGCAGGGTCTTCATTTGAACTTTCCCGCCCATTTTCACGTGCATGTAACGACCGTACACGTTGTGCATTCCGAAGTTCAAAACTATCTCTGATTGAACGTGCACGAAAAGATGATCTGCTTCTCTGAAACTATATATATCAAATCAATCAACGAAACACCACTTTTGAGTGTTATGACAGATAACAAAACTATAATTAATGATTTAACGAAAATTAGATATACGAGGACGGATAAAAAAATGTGCGTAAATCAAATTTTGATATAACTTAAAAAGTTTTTGACGTAAATCAATACAATTTTGCATATGTGATAAACAAATAAATGTTAAAAATAGCCATACGATTGATGTTTTTATTTGTGTTTCAATATGAGCCGCGTCACGACAAAACCAATATAATGCGTTTGCAACCAGCATGGATCCAGAACAGCCTGCGCATCCGTGCAGTCTGATCAGGATCTGTGCTGTTCGCTTACCAACTCTTTTACAAGTAGAGAAACTGATAACGAACAGCATGGATCAATGCTGGTCGCAAACGCGCTATGTTGGTTTTGTCGTGACGCGGCTCATATCAAGTTTATAAAGTTCTTTGTTTGTACCCCGCCGCAACCGTTTTCTTGACTGAATTCTATAGTGCTAACTGCTAATACCTCTGTCGGCTCCCTTAATTGGCGCCAAACTATATCAAACGTCGTCTGCTTATGTTGTCATATGTGACGTCGTTGCAAATGGGGGATTTACCTTACTAACAGTGCTGGAGTAATAATATCTGTCAAATGTCACGGTTCGGATCTAAATATCCGCCCCGAGAGGACACATCCATGGGCCGGTAAAGAGGCTTGTCGAGTTGCCGCCAATGGGTGCGAACCTGACGGGCGGATATTCCGATATGAACCATAAGCATTATGTCAGATAGTTTTTCTTGCATTATCTACCATTTCCTACAATATGTTAAATTCTTTATCTCAAAATGACAATGTTCCATGGAGATTAATGTAATTTCATCCATACTATTTTCTTACAATAGCTATGAAATTACAACTTTATTCATAACGACGAAATGACGTCACCTTTAGGCATGCTTTTTCATCCTTAAATACACCGAAATGATAAAAGTATGATTGGAGCACCACCAAGTTTTTAGTCTCACTCGCAAATTTGAACGATATCCGGTAAATGTACACTCGTTTTCGAATATATGAATATATTAATTATTTTATTTAAAGGAATAAACATGAATGCTGAATATAAAGTTAGCACTTTTACTCCTGGCTAGAATATTCAACTGTCCGGTAGCTTGTTTAAACTCATAAAAAAGACTCTTAAATTTATACATACATCTTAGATAGATTAAAAGAAATGTGTTTAAATGTTAAAATCGTCAGTTACCGTGTTTAACCTTCTACGTATAGATATACGGCAATTTGATAAATGTTCGAACAAATTGCACCGACAAGACGATCTAGATGATCTATACTTTTCCCTGCACCGCTTCCAACAGCCTTTCAAAACACACAACCCAATGATAACTAGTATGATCCAACTAAATTCACCAATGATCTTCAGAGTGTCTATGACTGCATCATGTATAGCACAACTTTGCATGTGTTCACCATTATCGCCACATGCGTTGACGTCATTAGAGCACATGTAATCATTGGCAATACAGTGTCCATTGGTGCACTTATACACACCCGCTTTATCGCATTTACCTGTTTACAAATAAATCTTATTATTTATTTTGAATATTTATTCCTTTTGATATATTTTGAATAAATTCATTTTCATATGCGATATAATAAAAGATAATAAGGTAGTGGAATTGTTTTTAAATTGAAAAGTGCAGACTAACAATTTGATTGTATGATATTTATATGTATCCATATTCTAGAATGTTTGTTTTATTCATAAAATAGAATGGCATCTGTCTAAAGATGTCTATCCTTAAGATGTCGAGAAAAAATTCAATCAGAAGTGGCGATGAAATATGCTTTATAAATGCCCATGTGGACTTTGAAATGATTTCAGTCTTATTTCTCAAAATATTTTATGTCTGTTTTTCTGTTATAATTTCCAATATGCTACACGTTGGTCATCTTTTGCTCCTGTTGCCGTTTGCAAATTAGTAAAGATATAGTGATTAAGTATTTTGAATTGATGTCGAAATACTACTTTGTTTATAATCTGGTACCTTTATTATAAACTTTTTTTTCACATTCAGCGCTACTTTCTTCGGGTCGTAAGCATGAAACATGCTCTAAAACCATTGTTTAAAGGTAATGAAATACTAGTAAATGTTTGCCCTTTATTCAGAAGAGTTTTTTTCGTTTCTGTGGCATAAAGTGACTTTAATTTAAGAAACTGAAAAGGTGTAATGAATGCCTTACAAACTTTATTCGCTACTTCTAACTCTTGGTATAATCTGACCTACCTAAACTAAAAGCAATATACTTTATTGTAAAGTTCCATCTTGGGTAGCTAGCTATTTTCTGTCTTTGAAACGTGACCGTGAATATGGAAGCTTCTGTCGTAAATATTTGTGACGGATCTTCAAGTGACGTGTTGTGCCCGCACAAATGTCTTGGTAAGCCTGTAAGAAATTGTTCAACTTAATTAAAGGATATGTAGTTTAGTTTACAGCGCGATTGTGAAACAAGTTCTTGAAACTTACATTAATCACTTTCGAGTCCGCTTTCCGGGACCAACCAGTACTGGTGTCATATGAAGAGACACGGTCGTGGCCCAAGTAGAGCTGGATCATATGCTCCCTGAATTGATAGACAGACACCTTAACCACTAGACTACCAATCACCTTAACCTAGCATAGGATGTGTAACATATCTATTGGTCGTTTTATTGTTGTTGTTGTTTTGTTTTTTAGGTGTGTTTTGTATGTTTGTGTTCTTTTTGCAAAGCAACATTTCACATCTAGACTGATATGCAGATCAACTTTACCAGTACATTACGCGGTCATCATACACAAGTTTACTCTGACCTTCGCGTTCTTTTTTATATCGAAATAGGTAAACCTTATTAACAAGCATTTAACAATTGCAAGGCCAAATCTGGGTAGGTTACTTATCTAATATGAAAATGGTACAGTGAGGACATAAACGTGGATAAATTTAAAACCATGGAAACAATTTACCAGGTGGATAGGTGAGGCGTACCATGTTCAATATTGCTGAAAATGTGTCCACTTTACAAATGGGTTATATACGTAGCGCATGTTATAATAAATTACCCACCTTGAACTGGTTTCCTTAATATTAATCCTTCCTGGACTGTAACGTTCAAGTATTCGCATGTTTCACTGAGGCCAAACTTTGTAAAATAAAATAATACTAGTATAGGTTGCGGGAGAAAGTCTGACTGTGGTTGCACTGTAACACTGCATTTGTTACCAAAACTGTAGGACGATAGCTTCTGTGAATCAAAACGGAGTTCGCCTGCTTCATCATTTATAGTGTCTGTACATATATCATGAGAATCATCTGAAATAACCAAGACAGAACGTGCTTCAGTCACCCACTCTCTTTTTGTATCAATATCAAAACTCTGTTAACTAGCTGTAATGGTACTCAATTGTACTGTAATTTGGTGAGGACTTATTATATCACATCTTTTGTTAATAAGTAAATGTCATACCATCGAAATGAATGTTGTACACTAGCCTCTAAAAGATAAAATAGTTACACACAGTTTCATCATGGTGTTAAAAAAAGGCTTGTTTATCAAGCAAGTATTCCCTTTTGTGAGTATTTATGATTTGAGCCGCGTCACGACAAAACCAACATAATGGGTTTGCGACCAGCATGGACCCAGACCAGCCTGCGCATCCGCGCAGTCTGATCAGGATCCATGCTGTTCGCTTACAAACCCTATTACAAGTAGAAAAACTGATAGCGAACAGCAAGGACCCTGATCAAACTGCGCGGATGGTCTGAATCCATGCTGGTCGCAAACCCATTATGTTGATTTTGTCGTGGCGCGGTTCATTTATGGGCTCGGAGCCAGTGGGATGTTATGCGTTGTGGACATGAAACGTTTAGTTGCTTTGTGTTTTATCAATTCAAAAACGAAATGTTTTGGCATAAAAATGTCCGAGCATGCATATGCATTGGCACTGAAGATATTTGAAATTAGAGATGCATGGTTTGGTAATTTTATAAACATCGCTATAGCGATTTTAAGGGCATTAATTTAAATCACTATATAAGGACATACCTGATAAAGGAAATTGTTCGCTTAAATGATATGGTGCATTTCTGTATGGATATGTTAGAAAAATTGTAACAAAGTTAACAATGCACAACACCTTAAATAAAAACATGTACAAATCAGTATTGTAATTGGTGAAATAATACACTATGATATGAAGAATTACCAACATGATTTGATTCAACGACCCCGTTTACTGTCACAAAAACTTTAAGTAAACCTTTCATAAGCAGTGTGGCCATACCACGTGACTATGACGTCATTTTCGGCATCATTTCCAAGACAAATGTTGCTCGATTCGGAATTGAAAATAGCCGTAAATATTTTATTTCTGTACCAATTTCTTTGGGATATGCACCAGTCTACGGGGAAAAATATAAGCTTTCCACAGAATATTGGATCTTCGTCAGTTTATAAGCCGTTTTATCAAACACTTTGCATAACCTTGGAAGTTGCTTGTATTAGAGCGGGCTTCAGTTGCAAGCTCTTTCGTTTTCTGGCGTTATCTGGTCTACGCCATGATTAAAAGCCAGATTTAAATCAACCGGGAGTACGGAAGGCAAAACTCTACCTAAATATGTTCATATTTTTATTATGATTGACATAAATCTTACATTTTCCTTCAATTGTCAATTCTGGCACCTGTTCCAAGTCGAAAAAAAAGGACTACAGTTTAAAGCAGATTTTAGAACCCGTTGCAAATGCAAAGCAACATGCCTACCGTTCTCTTTCTATAATTATGTTAACCATGAAAAACATTTTATTTACTATTATACGATTTACATAAACACAAATGAATATTTAAATGATTTTTACTCGCTGCGCTATAAGTGATTTTAAAAGTCGTAAAAAGCATTTGTAAAGAATATAATCATTCTCTCTTTCACGGTAATGATTATGAAAAATCTATTAGTGTCATGAAGCAATACTAAACGTGGAATATTCAAAATAGAGAGAAAACAGAAACTCTAAATATCGCCAAAAACGGCCAAATTGAAAATGTTGCAGGCTCGGTTTGACTTAGCTAGCCTGTCCAATGAACGTGCACATTCAGGATCACTTCCATTTGTATACTGTGAAAAGGGAACTTTACGCCTCAACGCGGCAATTTTAAAGTCAAATGTTATTCTTTTGAAAAGAGTTATTTATACGTATAACCATATATACTCGTATATACTTGGTAAAGAACCTGTAGCAATGTTTTAGTATGATATATTCAGCTTTTTAACACAGTGGCACTCGTTGATAAAAATATTTTTACATCCTGTTTTCATACCCACGGTAACCGTTTTTCGTGAACTGGATATAACTTCGTTCACTTAGGAACACTAAACACTATTTATTTTATTATTGCATTTATTTCTGTTAATAAACTGCATATCTGACAAATTTAGTTAATTATATCAGTCAACCCAGCTTTATCAGAGAGCTCACTAATACACATTGTAATAAAGAGAGGAAGGGAACGGAATATTTATGGTTTGAAAACATTTAAATCGAGTAGAATGTTTTAACAATAATGTCTCTTTCAACTAAATAAAAACGATAGGGCTATTTGGGACTATTTCTTATCGATGTGGTCATTGGCTGTAAATGCATGGATTATTGCACGCGGCATGACATGCAGATGTCCTCAACAGGATTTTTGTAGCATTTTAAGATTTAAAAAAGGACCACATATTAAAATCTAAAACATGATAAACATAATGCATTTGCCAAATAAGTGAATTATCTGATATGTAAATAAAGAAGTAAGTCATTTGACAGTTGAAGTATAAAAATTGAATATACTCTTCAAAAGTAATCGTAATTTTACTTAGTTTATGTTAGCTATCAATTATTCAATGGACGCATCAGTGTCATATGGACCCCAGTTATAGATCTTGCCGGTGTTGCTATTACAGATCTTAATGTAAATATTCATATAATTATTGATAATCATTGTTATTTCCGTCTTTTTGAATGTTTTGTTTTGTAAAATCATTTATCTGTTTACTATTTTTTACTTTGTTTACTCCACATGGTCTCCATTCTCGCTCTTTATTGATGATGAAAGTGCTTATAGTTTAATTAGCATAAAATGTCAACGTCATGTTAATGCGCGTGGCAATTAGATTCTTGATTTTGATACTGATTAATGTGCATAGTACTTCAAATTGTGATTTCGTTTATCAAACTCTATAGAAATTTATAATACGGCAATTCCAAATATATACCTTTTAAAAGTCTCTCTTTTGACGACAGAAGAACCTATTCGTCACATTCACGTGTGTCAGTGTTTGTCAGTTACTCTTTACAAAAAATAGAATGAAAAAAATTACCTTATAACTTTACAACACTCGCGTTAAAGTGTAACAATTTCCGTAGCATACAAAAGTTTTTTTTTTTTTTTTTTTATTTTAACTCTTTCTCTCACTAAGAGCACATATATTTCTTATCAATTTCGCCATTGTGAAATAGAATAAAACACATTTTAACTACATAGGATAAGATGAGCAATACTTCAAACATCTTCAAAACGAAACCAAAAATATTATTTTTCGACAGGACTAAATCTACGTGTCGTGCACTATTGCGATACATGTAAGTGTAATTGCTTTAAGAAACATTAGTTTTTTTTCCACAATCTCTCTGTGAAAGATCAACAATAAAAAACTAAATTGTAGAAAGAGTACGGTAGGCATGATGCTTTGCATTTGCAACAGATTCTAAAATCTGCTTTAAACTGTAGTCCTTTTTTTCGACTTGGAACAGGTGCCAGAATTGACAATTGAAGAAAAATGTAAGATTTATGTCATTCATAATAAAAATATGAACATATTTAGGTAGAGTTTTGCCTTCCGTACTCCCGGTTGATGTAAACCTGACTTTTTAATCATGGCGTAGACCAGATAACGCCAGAAAACGAAAGAGCTTGCAACTGAAGCCCGCTCAAATACAAGCAACTTCCAAGGTTATGCAAAGTGTTTGATAAAACGGCTTATAAACTGACGACGATCCAATATTCTGTGGAAAGCTTATATTTTTCCCCGTAGACTGGTGCATATCCCAAAGAAATTGGCACAGAAATAAAATATTTACGGCTATTTTCAATTCCGAATCGAGCAACATTTGTCTTGGAAATGATGCCGAAAATGACGTCATAGTCACGTGGTATGGCCACACTGATAAGTTGACGCACAAATTAAAAAAATATACGTACTCAAAACATAAGGCATACTTAAAATGGTATATTAATTATTAAACATTTGAGTTGATTTGGTATAGTATAACAATTACAGATAAAAGTGATCAAAGTTCACCATCTTGTTTATCAAGTTTGTAAATTATACTTACATATCTTAAATCATGTACAACAGACGAAAAGTGTCTTGAAAAAAAATCCCATATAAAATAAAGCGGTGTGATACCTCAAGCATTATGAGTGATTTTTCAGTGAACTTTTCTAAACCTTTGATTTATTTTTCTTTTTGCTTTCATGTTTTGTCTTCAGTAGACTATTTAAATTAATAGGTAGAGTAGCATTACATAAAATAAGTTAACAATAGGCCACTCGTCTATGTCATACGGAAATCCAATACCTTTATTACATACATGACACAGATTTTCTATTTATAAGACAGTTAAGTGTAATGATAAGTGCAATTATTAAAGACTTAAAACGGACAAAAAATAGTTTATTTAACATCACAATACAGATCCGATAGATATCTGACACAGTCCTCAAAGTGCGTTTTTGAATTACTATAATGATTGGCAGGTCTTAGGGACCATTTGACCCGCATCTAAATATTCTGCTAAAATACACAGATGACATGAGACTTATCTACTTACCAATTTGCTGTGTTTATTTATTTCTTTGATTGGATGTTCATTAATTTTCACCAACACTGATCGATTCTTCACATGATTGAAAGTTAAAGTTGGTAAAACTTTTGTTGCATCATCGTTATGTTATGACCATTACGAGGTAACACTGTTGTTCAAGACTTGTTATTAACTTTACGTGGTAACATAATTGTTTACATGCCATCAATTAAAGTACTTAAAAACATCACAGAATAACATTTATCACATAAACCGCGGGAGTGTAATAAAGCCATTTAATAGAAACGATATTACACTATAAAAAAAACGTGACCTCATTTGCGCTATATAGAAATATAGCGTTAAAGCTTTACACTATAAACGCGTTACTGAAAAATTACTCATTTAAACAGTTTACTGTTCTTTTTTTTATATGTGATAAAAAGAATATTATATTCGTGTAGATTCAATACTAAATTTATTGAACTCGTTGAATAAAACAATATTATGCTCGCCAAAGGCTCGCATAATATGTCGTTCAATAAATTTAGTATTAAACTACACTCATTCAATATCCTCCATATCTTATACCTTTGTTAACCAAATGCCATCGTAAAAAGTATTATAGTACTTGTTACATTCCTTTAGTAATTGTAATTACTTTATAATATGAGTCGCGTCACGACAAAACCAACATAGTGCGTTTGCGACCAGCATGGATCCAGACCAGCCTACGCATCCGCGCAGTCTGATCAGGATCCATGCTGTTCGCTATCAGTTTCTCTATTTGTAATAGGGTTTGTAAGCGAACAGCATGGATCCTGATCAGACTGCGCGGATGCGCAGGCGGGTCTGGATCCATGCTGGTCGCAAACGCATTACGTTGGTTTTGTCATGACGCGGCTCATATTGTAATTATATTGCGTTATGTCGTTGACGTTCAACAAGGAAAGAAGAGATGAAATAGCGTCTCCCTGATTTAGGCTTATATTAGAGCTAAAGTACTCAGAATAAGAATTTTTATACTTTACACACGATTTAACAGTCTTGTACGTTCAGTAATTTCGGCTTACGTTTTCTAAAATAAGTTTTGCAATATAATTGAACTTTCATTCTTATCAAAACAATGGTAATCAATAAAAAATGCAGTATTATTCCTTCCCTGAATTAAAGCTTTTAGCAATTATAGAATGTAAAATAAACATGCAATCAATAATAGACTTCCCGTTCTGACAACTAATTTGATTTTTTTGAAATTGTGTCATGTTCATTTGCCCATATGGTTAACCTATTGAGTAGAAGCTGTAAATAAATTTAAGCCAAAATATTTATGAATGAGATACCTCTATATCTTTTAATTCGTAAATGTCACATTTTTTTAACTATTGGTGCAATAATTCTTTTCCCCATGAGATAAGATATTCATTTGAATTAAAAAAATATTATAAAACTTGCACAAAAATGGTGATATATTATCAGTTGATGACTTAAGCATTTCGGGTATCTGTGGTTTCTATATTATCTATTTAACCAAACTGAAAAAGGAAAAGCCGCAAGCAGCTTTGAAGATCTTATACTTTGTCCCTCACCAAGATTGTTTCCACAAAATTGCTTACTTTTCAATATCATTCGTGAAAATGATGGCTTGACCTCTGTTTTGATTGTGATTTTGGCTTTTTGTGGACTGTTATTAGTAATACCGTATAATTTCGATTTTTTTTGTAGGCAAATGACATTTACTAAATTTCTGGTGACGTAGAAAATTGAAAATAAGCCGATAAAATGTGATTTAAGCCGTTTTATGAGGCAACGCCGTTTCATATATGGTACTGAAATATGACACAGGTTTAGCGCCTTTTATCGGCGAAAATATTCAAGCTATTTGCGAGCGACCTTGTCAGTGTATTTTTTTAGTAACTTATGAAGAAACATGATAATTAGATATTGACAAACTTTCAACATTTTGACTGCATATTGTAATCTAATACAATTTGATAATTGTTTCCTGAAATAAATTATTATTTGTAAACATATTTTGCCCACGTCTGAATAAGAACAATAAAAGTCCCTTATTATTAAAACTAAAATTATTATATTGAATGAAGTAAAAGATTAATTAACGAAAACTGAGATTTGTTTATCTTAGATTGTTGAGCTTTACCTCAAATATAATGGCATCACATTTTAGGATTAAGATAAAATATCAATTAACTTCGTTAATCTTCAAAATGGCGTAAAACTAGCCTCAAGCTCAAAGGAAACCACATTTCACTTAATAATGATCAAATATCACAATGTCTGTAAGGCTTTGTCTTAATTGTTTATTTGATATTGTAGAAGGCACAACAAAAGTAGTTTCTAAAATAATTGCTCATAAAATTGGTTACACACAATGCTTACAAATGTCACATTTCAACAGCCTAGGTCGTATGTGGCCGAGTGGTTAAGGTCATTTACTTCAAACCACTTGCCCCTCACCGCTGCAGATTCAAATCACGACAAAGACTTTGGATTCTTTCATGTAAGGAAGCTATCTATCAAGCTTACGGAACGTCGATTGTTCTATTCAGGTGTCCGTTCGTGCTCGATATTATGAACAGAATGGCGCCGGAGTTCTTCCTCCAACAGTAAAGCTGGAAAGTCGCGATATATGTTAGGGCATTGTTAAACCCAATCCAATACATCAGCTTTATTTCTGAAATATTTCTCTAATATCAAAATGAAACACAAACTTACTGAGATGAAATTCACCTGCTTTATGTATGCATCAGCATTTGTAGTTTGCTTGTTATAGCCACATATTGAATGTGTGTGTCGTTTTCCTTAAATACACATTATGCCTCATAAATGAATAAATATTTATTTCTTCAGAAAGGTCAAACATGAATTCTATCGAGCATTTTAGATGCCTATTTCTTGAAGAAAATAGCACTTAATGTAAAAAATGTCACAAAAGTAACAAAATGTAAATCAAGTAGTATTTTGTCTTCCATACACAATAATAAACGACTATAAATGCAATAATGTATAAAATTGTCAGGAAACTATAAAAGAATACCAAAATTAAAATAAAAAATAGTTTGAGAAATAAAATGAACCATTTCTGGGGCATAATGGGCCTTTAAAAGACAAGCTTATATTCCCATAACACAAAGGACATAAAATATGCTGTTAGTTATATACAATCATGTAATTACAATTTACCTACATTTCAAAGAATATACTAACATTTTAAAACCAAAAGTATAATTGTAATCAAATATTATTCAACATTATCATTTTTCATATTAAAACAATTAACTGTAATTGTCTACAATTTTATCTTGTACTAATATGTTAAGTACATATCTAAAGTTACAGTAGGCGGACAATGCATTTTTTTCTTTTGGGGTGATGATTTAATTAAGTTACAATAGATCATGATGTGTCTTTCTCATAAAATACAGAAAAAACAGAATCCCTAAAGAAAGTTCAACACAACAAATTGAAAATGTTGCAGGCTCTGTTTGATTGAGCCTGTTCATGGACGGTACTGGAAAGTGCAAGGTACCGTCCACGCCCCCTAGCACCGGCTTAAGCAGAATTCAACATTTAACACGAAAATGGTGAAATTTTGAATTTAGAAACATCCGCAGATGTGTTCATACGGCGGTTATCATGGAACATGAGTTTTTCTGAATTTGTATCAAATTTATTTATCATCGTATATAGTAGCAAAGTTTCTGTTATGAACCTAGTGTTGATGTCAGTAAATAACATTAACGTTCAGGGATTACGGGCCGAACAGTCCGACTAAAAAATAAAATAAGGCATTGAAATTTTATAGATTAAAGACCACTTTAGTTTAGTAATTGAGACGATAATAAGGACAATTTTAAAGTTAAGTCATTAAGATAATTGTACATAAGGACCATTTTAAAGTTAATTTACGGAGACGATAAAATGATAAGGCCATTTAAAGTGATAAGAGTTTAAGTCCATTTTTAAAGTTAAGTCACATAGGCGATTAGATTTAAAGACCATTTTTTAGTCACAAAGACGATTAGATATAAAGACCATTTTTTAGTTTAGTCATTGAGGCGGTAAGATAATAAGACGATTTAAAGTTTAGAAGTCACTAAGACGATAAATAATAAGGCCATTTTAAAGTTTTGCCACTGAGGTGATGAGATATTAAGACTTTTTGAAAGTTAAGTCACTTAGACGATAAGATTTACAAGTCATTTAAAAGTTAAGTCAATGAGTCGATAACATATACATACCATTTTATAGTAAAGTCACTAAGGCGAGAATATATTTAGGCTATTTCAAAGCTAATTCACTGAGGCGACAATATATCATAACGTCTTTAAAGTTCAAGTAAAAAATTAATTAGAATAATTATGATATGTCTGTAAAAATTATAAAATAAAAAGTTAGTTCACTAAGGCAATAATATATGGTGACGACTTGAAAGTTCAGATACGAAGTTTATCAATTTTGATATATGTATACTTGTAATATAAAATGACTTTAGGTTCACAAATCAAACATACCTTACTAGACCATTCTTATAACGGTTAACAAATGACAAATAACACACTAGCTCAGGACAACAAAAGCATTTTAGTACAATAACAAAAACCCGGTAGCAAATGAATGCATGATTTTGAAACGTACAGAAAAATACATACTGTTTGTGCTTATTATTAATAAACACTTACAGATATTTCAAGCATTGAACAAATAAAACTTTTTTCCATAAGGTAAAACAACATTTTTTTCTCTTATGTTTCGGACATACGGACCTCATGTTAAAACATGTAATAAGTACCCTACCTACAATTGGCAACATTTAATGACATACACGAAGGCCTTTTCATTACCTTTTTGAAAGTATCGGTTTTACCCATTTGCCGTTGATATTATAACTTAAATATAAATTACTGGACTCTTGATTTACTTAGTTAAAATTGTAACACAATCGAAAAAAATAACACCAATTTGTTTTAAATCACAACACACAAAAGATATTAAAATAAATCAAAATTATGTACACAGCCCAATTATCTGCTTTTTTCAAGTTTGTCTTAAGATCTTGCAGGAAGTTCAACGAATATTGGATAGTGTAACTTACGGTTTTTGATGGTGTTCGAAAAAAAGTGAGCAGTCGCAAAAGTTCATTTCAAGGGTTCAAAATCATTAAGTTAAAAAACGTTTTTAGCTCTAAAAATAATTATAATATTATATCATTTTATATTCATCTACATCAATTATTATCAGTTTGAAAATTCATTTGATCAATACAGGTAGCGGAGACCAGTTAAAATTTGAAGAAAAAGACTCAATAATGCACTTAAAAAAAGATATTCAACCTATAAACATAAGGTTAGGCTATTAGGTAAAAAGCTATTTGAGACTTAAGTCGTAACTGCTAGATACGGAAGAAAGTCTAACATTATTAAAGGAAACGCCTGATCCACGTTCGTCACTCGGACTTTTCGTGCATCTAAAAGTTTCTAACACTGTACGACGGAACCGCTGTCCACTGAGGAAATACAAGATAAAATTGATAGAGTGATTTATGTACACCATCAAATTCACAATCGCCCATATGATCTCCTGTTCTTCTGTCATTCCGAGGTTCTCATCAACCCAGGTTGATCTTCCCATCAGATAAATTAACGCAGGTGTCGTCGTTATAATGAAAACGATGTTTACAAAAAGCAATGTTACGGTAATCTGTGTAGCATGGTTGTCAGACGCTCGCTTAGTCCGCATGAACTCCGTCCCCATACGCTTGCGCCAGTTTTTACTTTCATGGAGGCTCTTTATTATAATTATAAAACCAGCGAAGAAGATCGTAGCTGGTATAATTATATAGCTGACAGTTGCCATGATCTGATGTATTCCAGAAAAATATTGTCCATAATTAATGTCGTCATACCAACATACTTTTATTTTTCTATCTTTGGTTGACTCTTGTATAGTTGCTAAGTTATCAATATCTGGATTGAAGGAAATGTTGCAAAGTGTCTCTAACATAAGGTCATCTATGTAATCAATTTCAATATCAGGAATCTGGTGTAGGATACTTTCGCATGATGTATTTGTCAGCCACACTGTTAAATTATGTGGAATTATTTTTTTCCTTGCTGTAGACGTCTCAACAATGACGACATCACTCAATTTAATACCAATTAAAACATGTCCATGAACTGCAAATAATGTAAATGCGAGAGCAATAGAAACAATTACCGCAACTTGCAAAGTGCATATTGTTTTCACCCTATAAGGTTTCACGGTACATATGGTACGCTCGATTGTCAAAGCCGCTAACAGACAAGACGAGTAGGCTCCACAGAAATAGTTGGCAAAAAATTGAACTTTACACACAATGTTATGAATATGACGGATATCGAATCCAAACAGATAGATTAACCACCACCGAGGCAACATTATTGTTACCATAAATAAGTCAGCCACTGCAATAAATGTCAGGAAAATAGTAGTTGACGTAGTTTTGACTCTTTTACTGGTTAGTACAAAAATCGTCATAAGATTACCGAAAACTCCAACAGCAAAAATGATCGGACTTCCAACAATCCAAATCATTCTAGCAACATCTGAACCTTTCTGCTGATTGCTATCCATCACTACGTATAATTATATCAGTAATAATGTACTCTGTTGAAAACACTTGATGTTTACGATCTGAATATGTATTTATTATATATGATTTTTTATATATACTTGTATACTGCAAGTAATACAGAGGTTTGTAATGAATTAAGTAAAACACTTACATATGTCGCCAAAAGGAATGAGAATGTATTGAACAGGAAGAGAAGCAAGCCAACCTTTTCATTGTCTATTGGTCAAATCTTAATCCGACATTTCATTCACCCAATAAAAGATTGGCTAATATAAAAGATTCGTATTAGGTATTTTGAATAAGTTATTGGAAAGCTGTTATATAACTGTCCGCCGGAGGCTGAATCTGTGAACAACTGTGATGATATAAATTAGAATATACTATCATAAAAAATCATCCTCTAATCAGTAAAGTCTAACCAAATTGGTAATTACAACGAAAAAATATATCACGAAGGAAGGAAAATTAGTTATTATCATAATTATATAATATACTGTATAAATCTTTATACATTTATATGTTTATTGAATACAAACTATTGAGTAAAGACGTGAGTTTTCCTGGTAAACACTACAACGTGTAAAATGAGTTTTCTTTTAAAATTAAGGTAAACTGGTAAATGCCTAGATTACCTGTCCTAACTCTTTGTTCTTTACACGAAACTTTCAATGTCAAATTAATCGTGCTAAAAACGTTTCATTTCTTTTAAATATTTCAAAAGCATTATAATTGACTTTTACAAAAACTTAAATTAAGACAAAATCGTTTTTGTTCTTGGCCTAATGTGTGTTTTTTTTTTTCTTTTTGCGTTTTTCATACATTTTATACAGGTTAGTTTGGCTTGTTTAGCAAAGATAAAGACAAAGATTTTAATTTCAATTAACTCTCTGTAAATTTACAACGCAAAGTAATTAACTATAATACCAAAACTGATTTATTCTTAAATAATCTCTAAGGTCGCTTATTATATTTATATACCACAAGTAAGGTGTGCAAGTACGGTCAACATAATAATTTCCGAATAATATTTCCGCCGCCGATTTTTTTTTGTTTTTGGATGTTCTTCTTCAAACCCTACTGTCGTGTAAGTATTACAGAAAATAAATGATAAGAAAAGGAAACCTTTTTCACTTTAAGTCTATACATTTTGTATCTTTATTTTCAATAAATATTTTAACAATTTAATCTTACGTATCAGGCTCGAATGTATAGTTTTTACATCGATGCCAGATAAATAAACCTTCTTCTCCCCCTTTCAAGTAAGTTGAAATGACCTTATTCTGGCGCCTTTCATGAATGAGTTTCATCCTGGATGACGTCATTACGCTGTTAAACAGTTTCCTATGCACTGCATCTATTGACACTGAAAAAGACTAAATTTAATCCTATATGTAACGGATAATAAAAGCCTATTGATTATGTTTTGCTACAGCCGAGATATGGCATGGAATCATAAGACTCTGTATCAGATTTTAAAGTCAATATTTAGTTAAAGGCAATTTGTAATTAATATAGACAGACATCAATTCCTTTATTTCAATTTTCATTCCTTGAAGATAAGTTTGTATGACTTATAGCAATCAAACAGACACGAGTCTAATGCTTACCTATACAGATTTTCTTATTTGTTACAATAACGAAAAACTCTGATCTTTGGATTTTATTTATTAACACATACTTTAAAGCAGAATCCAACGACATGGCTTGTTGTAACACAATATGACTGGTAATTCTCTTGTTGTATAGGAATAGACTTAACTATATACTTATACACACAACTAACGTTAGTAAAATTTTGAATATGATTATAAAAAAATGTTAAATTGATAGCATCGTACAACAAAAAAGATACTACACTTGTTCAGGTAATAACAATGCAATAATAATTGGTACAACTACAGATCAATTCGGGGTAAAAGTGGCTTTGCAAGAAGGTGAAGAATATTACAACAGGAATTTCAGCAATCATAGTAATCAAGACAAGAGAAGCATTTGATTATATCAAATTTTGGCTTCAATACGTGTCACAATGAAACTTTACTCATACCCGAACTGATTTTTTTGGTAAAAACTCTCCTGTACACTTCATTATTCATCACACGATTGTATGTATTGCTCTTCATCTGATCAATGACGCAAAAAAAGGTTTAATAGCTTAATATGAATATCTATACGTTAACACCAATTATTTTTTAATAAACATTTATGACTGTTAGTCAATAAACAAATCAGTTTCGAATTCTAAGGAAAGCAGTGCAAATCTGATTAAGAGGCACGCATGAAGTACGTTCGAAGCTTGTATTTTTCTTGCATCAAAATATTTCCAACACTTGACGCAGGAATTTGGTGTCCACTCAGGAAATATGATACGAAATTGATTGAGTCATTGATATCTACCCATCAGGTACATAAGTCCATTTGTTGTCGAAAAAATCAAGAGCAATGTAAATAGTATTTGTGTAGCACGGCTGTCGAATGCATCTTTTGCCCGATGTTTGCATGGTTTCGGCCCTCAGTCACATACGCAACTAACTGTTTGCTTTTTTGTAGACCCTTCACTATAAAAATAGCACCAACAAGGAATGTTGTCTCAGGGATAAACAAGATTGTGATAGCCGATACAATTTGATGCGGGTCCGAAAAATATTGTCTATATTTTGGATCATCATACCAGAATACTTTGATTTTGTATATCTCAGTAAGCTTATCATTTACCTCATTGTTGGCAATCAAATAGGATGTCGATTCTTTAACGCTTTAATTGAAAGAACCAGTACAATCTTCGAGTATTAGTTCATGCAGAGCATCAGTTGCAGTATCAAAATTCTGGTCCATGATAAATTCACATGTATTGGTCGACTACTCATTTAACGCACTTAGAGGGGAAGCTGTTTTGGTATTTACTATCTTTTAGAAAATAATAAAAAGTTATATGCTGTTTTTGTAGATTTCACCAAAGCTTTTGATTATTTGGTAAGAGATGTTATTTGGTATAAATTATTTCAATTTGGAGTGAGAGGTAAAATGTTAGATATTATTAGGTCCATGTATGAGAATGCAAGATCAAGAGTAAACTACAATAATACTATTAGTGAAGAGTTTGTATGTTACTTGGGAGTAAGACAAGGCGAATCCCTTTCGCCGTTTTTATTTTCTATGTATTTAAATGATATAGAAGAATATTTTATGTTAAATGGTTTTGAAGGTATTGACTTAGGTTTTTTTAAGATATTTTTATTATTGTATGCAGATGATATAGTGATTATGTCTGAAACAGAGGAGGGCTTACAAAAAGGATTAAGATAAATAGAAATATATTGTGATAGGTGGAAATTAAGTGTTAACTGTACAAAAACAAAGGTTTTGGTTTTTAAAAAAGGGGGTAGACTTAGACAGAATTTGAATTTTTATTATAAAGGTCAGTCAATTGAAATAGTTAAAAAGTTTACATATCTAGGCATTGTTTTATCTGTTGGTGGATCTTTTAATATGACTTTTGAAACACTCTCTGGACAAGCATTGAAGGCGTTGTATAAACTTGAAAAAGAGCTGATAAGAGTCCCTTGTATGTCAGTTAAACATAAACTGGATTTATTTGATTAACTTATTTTACCAATTCTTAACTATGGATAATAAATATGGGGTTTACTTGATAGTTATGTATTAGAAAATATACATTTAAAGTATTGTAAGAAGTTGTTAGGAGTTAAAAGACAAACACAAAACAATTTTTATCTATGGTGAACTTGAAAGGACATCTTTAAAAACAATGAGAGCTATTAATGTTATTAAATACAGGTTAAAAGTTGTTCAGTCAGTTAAGTAGTACAAAACATGTCAAAGTTGTATATGATCTTATGTGTAGAGATTTAGAACTTAAACTAAGTTCAATGTCCTGGGCTAAGTCTGTTATGCTTTTGTTATAATCTTTAGGTTTCAATGAAGTATGGATTAATCAGGGCGTTGGTGATATAAATTTATTTTTAGCAGTAGTAAAACAAAGATTAACAGATACATTTATACAAAATTGGTATGCAACTTTAAGAGATTCATCAAGAGCAAGAAGTTAATATGTATTATTTTGTGATTTTGGTTTTAAATCATATCTGTCAATGGTTAATATTGAAAAATTTTGAAATCTTCATCACGTTTCAGGACTTCTTCGCATAGATTAAAAGTAGAAACTGGTAGATGGCATAAACCTGAAGCAATTTCTTATAATGAAAGAAAATGTAATATTTGCTTAAAACTAGAAGATGAATTTCATGTATTATTAGAATGTCCAAAATACAATGTTTTGAGAAAAAATATTATTGGAAAAACCAAATATACCAAAATTTATTGAATTGTTAACATCTCAAAATGAAAATGTTGTAAGAAAATTATCAATGTTTATCTTTAAAATGTTTGAATTAAGAACAAATGTTGAATATTTGTAAATTATAATACCTAGGAAGGTAAATGTAATGTTACTTAATTGATATCATTATGCAAAACCTGTGCTTCATTTAAACCTTGCTGTAATATGTAATTCTGTTCATATTATGACTCAAATATACAGTTAATGTTAAATATATGTTATATATGTTTAATGACCTTGATATTATTTTTCTGTATGTATGTATGTTTGTATATATGCTGTGTGCTCATGGGTATAATACCCACATGTATTTGGAATAAAATCTTGAATCTTGTAATCTCTTTTCTTAGAAAATTGCGAATGGTCAACATTCAACATTTCAAATATAAATGTATCATGCCTTAAATTGAGAGAGCGCGGTATTTTAGCAGAAGGGGTATGTACGCGCTTATTTATGTAGAATCTAGCTTGCAGCATGATTTACATACGACTTTGATTTTTTTGTGAATTCTTCTTGAAAAGACACGTCGTCTGTATTTGAGAAGCATTGTTGTTCTTATAGTGTTAAAAAAGAGGATTAATCCGTCTTTTCGATTACCCTTTCCAAAGATTTCTTAAATACGTACACGTCAGTCTTTT